CCCCAAAACCCCAAAACCCCAAAACCCCGATTTTAGAATAGATTATTGAAGATTACGGATGTGTTAAATTAAGGGATGTGGGGAAGAAGTGGTAGTTTAGTAATTTTATAGAATTTAAGAGTTTTTCACTTAAGTGAGAGAAATAGGTATTAGGAAAGGATATTTCGAAAATAAATTAATAAAACACTTCCAAAATCTAAACATACTCAAATAATCCTTCCACTCATCCCTTAAACTACTCAGTCATTTCTCCTTCACTATATTTCTTTCTCTTATGCTTCTTAACAGGGATGCCATACACTCTCTCATTAGTCAGCAGCTTCATCTCCTGTATCTTTTGTAATGCTTTATATAGATTAGCTATGTCTTGCTTGTTATAGTTCAAGTGGTCTTTAGATTCCTCATAGATGGTCTTGAAGTCTCAGTATGCATTCAGCAACTCGTTACGAAGACAAGTCAGTTTTTTAGCACTAGAGATGAAAGGAAGGTTTACAGTTTGGAAATAGTCTTGTATATAGGAAGAAGTTTACTTGCCATCTTTAGTGAGGAAGTTAATGAAGCCTTGACTGAACGGACCTTTGTAAAAGATGTCTCCAATATCTATGGATTTCAAGTCTCCTAAAGCCCAAATTAGTTAATCCAAAGAAAATCACCAAAGTTATAGAAAAGGAAGCCATCTCCTAAGAATTCAGCAACTCAGAGGACATCTCAAGAAATAAAACCGCTTATTAAGGGTCTCTGAATATTTCATAGGTACCCTACCTTGGGTACTTTTGGCACTATACTTGTCTCTTTTATTTGGAGTTCGCGCTTTTCTCAAAATTTCTGACGGCTTGTTATTTTTCAGACAGGCAATTGTTCATTTAGACTCTAGGTTAACCATATTGTCCAGGATTTCTAGAATATTACACGTTGTTTTACTCTTGAAGAGATCCTTTATGTAATTGATTCTTTCATCGCTATAAGAAGTCAACTCAATTCAATAGGCTAAGTGATGGGATACCTATAATCTGTAATATGATCCCAGCCTTGTTCAAGTTGTGAATATCTTGCTTGTTCCGGGTTCTTTATCAGAATATGACTCATTTTATTATACATAAAATCTTCATGCTCGAACAAAGGATTTTCAAACTTTTTAATGCCTTTTGTTATATAAGATACACTTGAAACACTTGCTGGTGGTAGAGGTAGAGACTTCAAAACCTTGATTTGTTCTTTCAAATCCCCATTCTCCTGCTCTAGGTTTTCTATCCTTTGCTCCAGTTTGGAGATATAAGCCTTATTTCCTTTCTCTATGTTCTCGGGAGCGGGTCTTAGAGTTCTTCTTGTGAGACTCTTTACTGCTCGAATTATGCTCAGACCTGTTATCCTTCTTCTCCATTGTTCAATTTGTTATAATAATCTTGGGGTTTTGGGGTTTTGGGGTTTTGGGGTTTTGGGG